GCCAGTACGGTCTGGCAGAAGTCATCCACGCGTTGCTTTTCGGCTATCTCCTCTAGCGTAAGAGGGGCCAGAAGGTCGTCCTGCGGAGGGGCGACCGTGGAGGCGGGCGCGCCAACTTCGGGTTGTCCGGCGCGCTCGATGTCGACAGCGTCGAACTCGTCGTTCTCCTCCCAGAACGAGGTGGGTCCTTCAAGAGCGGGGGCCTCGTCGTCGCCCCTCGGCTCGTCGCGCGTACGGACGCGCGACCCTCTTCGCGATCCGGCTTGGTTCCTTGTTGTCACGAAGACATGGACGGCCTTGTGATCGCAGCTCGCGGTACAGACGTGGTCCGCGAGCTCGTCCGACATGTCACGGACGGTCGTACCGGCATCGAAGGTGGGAATGTCGTCATCCACCTCGACGACTGAGCGAGGGTCATCGGTGACTCTTGGCGACACGAGGCGTGACAGGGCATCGGGCACCTGGTGCACGCGCCCGGGGCGGTACTGGATGGTGAAGTCGTATTCCGCCAACCGCAGTCGCCACCGGGTAAGCCTTCCGGAGCTCTCCGTGAGGGACATAAGCCATCGGAGGGCATCATGGTCCGTCCGGACGGTGAACTTGGTACCTTCGATGTACGGCCGTAGTGTGCGTACGGCCCAAACTTCCTTACGACTGGGACAGAAATGTTTCCCGGAGAACTGATTAGTACATTTCTTGTCGTATCCAGGTATAGTTGAAGTTTATGGAGCAAATCCAATCCCAAAAGAAAAGGTACATTCGCTCTAACTACGTCAACCTCAATTGGCACAAATCCGTTCTTGAGAAACGGTAATCGAATTGAGATTGATCCGATTGACTTCTGCACATCAACACCGAATCTGTACTGGTTGAAGTTCGCTTTTAGTTTGAACTTGCTCCCAACAAATTTGCAGTATGCTTTGGCTTGCAGTTGTCCGATTACAGTGCGTTGTGCTCCAGTGTCGATGCAAGCTCCCTGCCAGTCTTTCCTGCGTTCATCCAAATTGATTCTCATCTGTGAAAGACCTCGGCGAGAGTTTAACACAGAATTGGTCATTGCATCGTTGGAGGATTTTCTGAGACGCCGGTTTCTTCGTATGTCATGGGCTGTCCTTGACCTACGCGAGATTTTGTACTGGGACGGTTTTTTCTTGAGGACAGTCTCGTAGCATGATTTATTTTCTTTGGACTTCAAACTACGACGGTAAAGTAGACTGCCTCTCCTCAAAAATCCTCTGGATCAAGAACTGATGCAATGCCCCGATTCTCAGAACCAGTAACGTGGAATACCTGTCCTCCTTTATCGGGATGTTCAGGCGTCTCATCCTCTGATGAGGTAGAGTCCTCCTGCTTGAAGTTGTCCCCTGTAAGGGTAGCAGAAGGGTCTTCTTCGTCTGTAGAGAACAACGCATCTTCCACTTGTTGACAGAGTTCGAAGAGGATTTGATGGCTTCTCTTCGGATATCTCCTGACTTGCGATGAAATATTTCGCATCACGTTGCGAGGTTTGGGGCAGTCCCTGATGAAATGATTAGGGTCCTGACAATTGTTGCATAGCCTGGGGTTGCCATAACGGTCTAACCCATTTTGACCGGCTTTTGTGCTGTCTTGAGGGGGCCTGAATGGGGCAGATGAGCGTGATCCTGGTTTCTTCGGTCGTCTGTAATATTTCTGACCTTCGTAGTAAAGATCAGGAGTATATTTGGATGAAGATTTTATCTCTTTATGTAGGGAAGATTGACCGATGTTCAGATCTTTCTTTCGACCTTCTTGCTCCTCCTGGTCTTGAAGCCAGGCGGCGTCGAGTGCTGTATACAGATGTTGGAAGTCCCAAGGATTAGATGTGGACTGCGAGTTCGCAAGGGCTGACTTGGCCCACGGGGCACCAACGACAGCCTTGTAAAGATATTCTACCTTGTCTTCCTCGGAACGGTGAGTCCGTGGTCCTTGAGGAGCAAAACGTGTGATGATCTCACGTAACTCTTCCAAAGCTTCTGCGGTGTTGAGCTTCTTGGCATGCATCAAAGATTGAATTCTCAGGCTCTGGAGGTACTTCCTGATTCTGTTCTGCCGAGTTATCCTGTTGTACTCGTCTTGCATACCTTGGCATGCCTGACCAAAATTTCCACACCTGTCCCTCACCTTCTCTCGATAGAATCGCTTAGCTTCTCCATCGAATATGTTGTGGAAAAAGGCAAGTTTGTTGGTTTGGTCAAGGTTGTAGTCCTGGGCGGCATCAATGTAGTTATTGATGTGTTCCGTGAGGTCCTCACCCAGTTTTCCGGTGAATTTGTCCTGGTTCTTGAATCGCAATGCCATGTTGTGAGCGGCTCTTGCTTCGGAGTCACGTCTCACAGGGGAATAACCTTGTACTGATGGGCCGGCTTGACGTTCAATTTCCTTGTTAGTAGGCATACATGCTCGGCTACTTTTCTTGTGTTGAACAAGCCTTTCGTAAGCAAAATCGATGTCGTCCGAGTCTGAGTATAACATTTTTACTAATCCCCATGAGATACGGTCAGTTGCGGGATGTCTGATATACTGTACACCTTCTGCACGTAAGAAGTCACGGATGATTCTGAAAACGAACGTGGTGCCCTTCAGTACTTCGAAGGAATATAGAGTTTCAACAGGGAGGTCTTCACGTAATCTTTCTACCAGTTCTGTGTCCAAAATATTATCAGATTTTGCGCGAGTAATGTGTAGCGTAATAACTGATATAATATCATTGTGAACTGGAGATGGTGGTGTATACGTTTTAAGGTCCTTGGTGATGGTCTCTATAGCTGCCTCGTCAATTCCGTTATCCATAGTGTTTGGTGATTCAAAGTCTCCAGAAATTAATTTAGTAAGTTACTTTAGCCTTAGAAAAATAAGCTTTCTGCAACCTTACAATTATACTGAAATTTTGACTTTTTTATGGCTCACACTAATTCCAGCTGAATACGCGTACAGGTGTGCAACGCTCACAGCTAGTACAGTAGTAAACACGTGTGCAATTTTCACACTTAGTGCAATGTGTGACACGTATCTGATTTTGTGCGCGAAGAACACGTGCCAAACGTGTTCAATTTCGACACGGGTTAGAGTCCACACGTGTGGGAGGTGTGTGTGGAGAGTGTAGTGTACCACGTAGAGGGGGGCAATTGCAGTAGGATGCAACCAATTGTAATTCGACTTTTGAAAAAATAGCAAAAATGTTTTCGGAAAAGTTTGGTAAACTTGTGTTTCAATTTTCGAGGAGGGTTTTGAAAAATGAACCGAATTTTTTTTGTTACTAAAAAATCTAATTACTGCGCGTTACTTTACGCTCTTGCAAATATAAGACTCGACGACGGTGGTTGGCACCGATGATGTGAGACGCCAAGTCGTGTGCGGAGGGAAAAAACCTCTCGCAGGTAGCGCAGTAGTGGTCCTCGCTCTCACGTTTATAGCGGGCTTCGCGTGCAAGGTGCCTCTTGCCACCTTGGTGCTGGCGTAGCTGATGGGTACCGGTAACGGTGACCTGGCACACGTGGCACGTGAGCGAGCGTGCAAGGGGCTTCTTTTTCTTGATGCGCGTCGTAGCGACGCGGTATAGCGTTCGATTGACGCCCTCAGGTAGCGTAGATAATGGTACCTTCACTACAGTAGAACGAGACTTAATTTGATTAAAAATACGAGCAGCGTTGTCCACGTGTAAATGTTGTCCCGCCCCTAGTGCGTCAATTTCCGCTTCCTCTCCAAAATCCTTGTCCTCCGGCCTCGGTTGGTCCGCCGGGGTAGCTTCTTCTTCGATGAGTTCCAGTACGGAGACGGAGTTCTCCTCGTCGGTTTCCCAATTTACCTCAGGCGTGCGGGGTAGAGACCGTGCGCCGAGGGTAGGATCTTCTGGGTCTTCTGGAAGGGCGGTTGGGGCCCCGAGTTTACTGATTGATTCTGAGTTTAATACCACTAGAATAGAAATTAGTTAGGCAACTAGATTCCTATATTAGAGGTAGCCAAAATAAAGAACTTACTCTTGTATTTTTTCAGTGAGAGCTATCCTTAAAAGGATGATGGCTATACCTCTTAATTGATAAAACGTACTGCGTTAATATCAAAGAAGAGGTAGGGAGACCACTCTCGTAGCGATTCCAAAACGTTGAACAATTCCAAGATCCTTGAGGTTGTTTTTTTTCTTCTGCAAAGAAAACTATTAAGCTTATAGTCTAGACTGTCGCAAAAAAATAAAAGAAAAGGGGGGAACAATAAAGGTTAACCGGCAGGAACGGGCGAATGAGGGGAATCGCGCTTTTTATTGTCGTGGCTTCGTTTTTGTTTTTCGCTTGTCTTGTGCAGCTAGTCTGCCTCGACCCTTCCCTTATTTATACTACTCCAGCCAGGTGCTTTGTCCTCTCGTCACGTAATGTTTTGCACTATCGAAGCAGTTTTAGGAGAGGATGCACTGCATGTTGGCATCTGAGATTATTAAAATGCTCCCGTTGTTGTGCATTACATTAATTGCGTTGAGGTGCATTTTATTCGTCCTGTATACGTCACCGTCATACCATAATTTCCCACAGTAGCGCTACTGTAGCATGTTGGATCCTGTTTAGCTGATGTCCCACTGACCATCAACCATCGTAAAGCTACGAATATCTTCAGAGAGTGAAATACTACGGTAGAGTATCTTGTTCTTACCGTGCGTGGAGAAAAACACTCACGCCAATTAGAAGTCTGCTGTTCCATTCGGCAATCAATTTTCGCTATTTTCACATCAGTGTACAAGATCTACTACTACAATAGTTTGAATTTCTCTTGAAGCATGTATTGGAATATTTCAAAACTTATGGAAATACGATGACAGATGCCGGTGACGGCGCAGCAGCTCCATTGATTGTTTGATGCGCAGTTGGGAAAGATAGGCACGTTAAAATTTCGCTTCGTGACGGAAACCTAGCCCGCCGCCGCCCCAGCCGCCCCCGACGAACACTACAAATATCATCCTGCACCATTCTTTACCGCCCTCGCCTTGCCCAATGTGCCCTCCCGCAACCGCCCGGCTGCACAGCGCGCCCGCCGCTGTCGCCCTCGCACTGGAGGGCCTTGCGGGCACGCGTGCGTCGGGCTGCGTCACCGCCACTTTCACCGCCACGGTCCCCGCCTCACCCGTCGCGCGCTCCGCTCCCCCGCACCGCGCTTCTTCCGCACGTCGCCACGCCCCCGCCTCTCCCGTTTTGATACAGCGGGCGCTTACGGTATTCCCGTAAGCGCCCGCCGCACTTTCAGATACCGGCACGTAATGACATGTCGAATACAGTCACTCGTGTATCAAGGAGGAGTTCTAATTGTCATCTGGCAATGTGATGAGGGATTGCCCGACTTCTGGTCTGGACTTGCCAAATGATTTCGCGCAAGTAACAGCAATATCATCTGGGGCATGTAAGGCTAGCAGCAGTGCACTACGAGTCCGCGGTCCCGCATTTCACACATCGCTGCTCCTCGCAAAAGGTTCACTGTTGCTATGCCACGTTCAGCAGCATCTGCATCTCTCTCTATCCTCGATGAGGGTTTGAAGAAAATGATATGCTGGGAGCAACAACTGGTCGGCGACAATATCTCCTAGCACTTTCGTCAGACACTTCCCAACAAGTCGTACCACCGGTGGTGGGAGATTTTGATAAGCACCTGTCCCTGCTTGCAGCATCCTGTGCCAGATTTGAGAGGCACTGGCTCGAGTTACAAAAATAATCTCGTTCCCATATCTAATGACGAGGCTACAGCAAAAACAGCATTTGGGAGGTTTGAAGGTTTGTCCGTTCGTGGTTCCGAATGCGATGTCGCAGAGGCTGCCGCATCCCTCCTTTACGCTCTCTCGCTTGGCACTCCAAGATACCATGATATTTAAAACTGGGGAACGGGATATATTCTTGTCACTCGAGCCAGTGCCTCAAGTATTGCTGCTCCATCTCGTGGAGAGGACTCGTCAGATTGAACCCCTCGAGTCCCCAACATCTGAGACTCTTTTTGCTCTACATCGAAAAGAGCACAGAGCAGTATCTTGACGTTCATAGGTGGCTTTCCATGGCCGTTAATCGAAGCAGGTGACAGAAACTGGAATGGAACCGATGAATGCTCGCCTTTTGCATCATCTACAAGCACACTACACGTCAACAAAATCAAAAATATAGATCTTCCTGAAAAATAGACAGTGGAAGTGAATTCATTCTGTTACGCATCGTACCCCATTGGAAGACCACCTCAGCAGTTTGTACCAAGCACTCAGCCAGCATTGGTGCCATTTTGTTCAAAACGAATCTCAGTAGCACAGCCGCGGAGGCAAAGCGAGCTTCTGCAGCAGAGGTATCTTCTAAGCCCATGTCTTCTTCGTCGTCGGGAACGTGAATGTTAGCTCCCGGTTCGTTTTCAAGCAAACTCTTCATCCAGAGCTTTTTGGAGTGCATCACGACCTGTTCGATCTGTGGTGCCAGACGATGCTCCGCCGACTTGATGTCATCGTCGGCCTGGAGCGAAATTTTCGCCCAAGTCTCCAACAACACGTCTGCAACGTCATCGCTAGAAACATCCTCTTCATCAGCTTCAAGAGAGGCCAAGTTTTATGGCCGCCGCATGCAGCATTTGACACGTATCCTTGGCAGATTCGTTGTTAGAGACTTAGGCGAATATTTCGCTCTAGGCCGACGATGGCGTCAGCGGCATAGTCGCAAGCTGTCAACAGTTTTGAGACTTCGCGGCATAGTCGCAAAATTGTTGGCAGCTGCTCGATGATTTCATACTATTCTCTTCCAGTAAACGCTCTAAAAGCCACCGCCTCTAGAGACTTTTCGCCACATGTAGCTTCAGCATACAAGTCCTCGGGGGCGTCCCCACATGGATTGGCCTGGATCTTCGCTAAATCCGTCGCCAACACTCAACACGGTATCCTAGGCGGGTAGCAATCGAGCGTGATATTCTGGAGGTTTCATCGCTGGGTGTCCTGGGACGGTGATGACGACTGATATTGAGGCCAAGGCAGCCTTTGGTAAGCCGATGAGAGTCCTTGTAGAGTGGCAAAGTGGACACGAGCCTGAACGTGAACCTGGCGTTGCTAAGTTCACGATCAGGCTCCTGTGTATTTGCCACAGACTCCCCTATTCATGGCAATCTATGGGAGAGTAAATGCAATGCGTAGTGTAATATTTTTCTCTCTACGCGGAACTTCCGCCTTTCGGTGCTCTGGCACCCAGAAGGAAAGAGGGTAGGAGAGTAAAAGCCACATCAACTTGGCCCGTAGCTACCAGCTACAAAGATGAAAACGTGAGCTTACTTAGCATCTGCACTGCACGGTTTGCCCCGGTCACGCCGGCTAACTCGACTACGTTTCGCTAGAATACGCTACCACATTTCATGTAGAAAGCTTGGCGTCTATTCATGGTATGGTGGCCTACGCTTTTAAACCGTGAACCTGAAACAGTTTTGTACGCATTACACAGCCATTATCCCCGCGTAGAAAACACTGCCGTATCGAACTACACAACATGCCGCTGTCGCATCCCTGCACCTAGAATAGCGGCGGCACGGTGCGGCAAACCCTCTTATTCGTGCGCCTGACGGCTGACAAGAACCTTCTCTGCGGGCGGGTGACCCTGCTCCACAGCTGCGCCCCTCCGCACAGCGAAACGTCGAAGGACTCTCTCGGGCATGAGCTTCGATTGACGCGCACGTTGCCCAGCGTGAACAAGTACCTCGCGCCCACGTTGAGGATCGTGCCGCACAGCGCAGAGTTGACCAGCGTCTGCACGTAAATGATGTTGTCCTCCGCGGGAGCGCCCAGGAACCGCGCCGTCACCTTGACGATGTACGTGATCTTGCCATTCCGCTGGTCCTCGAACGGGTCGCACGTGCCCGGGCAGTTGTCCGTCCGCGCCAGTACCGTGCCGACGTAGATCGTGCTCGACCTGCACACGCCCTGCTCGAAGGTGGAGCGCAAGCACGAGCACGACAGAGAGAGCGTGGCTAGCAGAGACAGAAGCGAGAACTTGAGAATGTTGCACAACATTTTTGCTGGTTGGTGAACTTCCGTCAAGTGGGTCGGGAGTCGAGAGAAGGGGGCGAGCCGCGCGCTATATACTGCACTGTAACGCGGGGGTTCCCAAGAGGGAAACGTCCCAAAACCCAGGAGTATCTACGGATGAGGACGTTTCATGGGTAGTGTCCGACCAAGTGCATGTACCCGCAATCTGCGTTCACGTCTGCTTTCGTTTTCAGCGCGGCAGCAATGAAAATGACATCTTTGAATTGAAGTCGCGTCGGTCAAACTTTTCCGTGTGCTGGCATATTCACACCGGGTGCCCCGCGTCCCGAAGGACATGGGGGAGGGGGGACCCCTGCGCCTGGAGATACGGCGAGATGAAGCACGCGGTTTGCAAGCGGCGGGATGGCGTGGAGCAGCTGTTGACAGCTGGGCAGGCCAATAGCCGCTACTGCGCTGACATCAGCGCAGTACCCCACACTTGTCAACCGGGAGTGCGATAGGGATGCGCCGTGATATGACTGATATGCACTCCGCCCGGTGCAATATCGCGGTATTGCACTGGGTTGGGTGCAATATGGTGATATTGCACTGCACTGAATGCACTGCTTCGCATGGAATGTACCCTTGGTAGTGCATTCCGTGCCAGGCAGTTTTTTGATGCTTTATTGCTGTCGCACTCCCTGTTGACAAGCACGTTGTCCACCACGCCCTCGTGCGAATATTCCGCACTCAAGGCCGGTGGACAACCCACACGTACCGGCTATTGCAACGCAGTAGCGGCTATTGCCCTGCCAAGGCGCGAACCGCGAGCTGCAGAACCAGGCGATGAGGCGAAGGCTACGTGCCATCATGGAAGCGGGAGAGGCGCGCGTGGACGAGCTCCCGGCGCAGTTGTGCCGCAAGGTGTCGCCGGTGTGTGCCCCTATCTCCTGCAGCTCCGGGCCGCGCTGCGATCTCCGCAGACCAAGCCTTCGCGATGGCGATCTCCGCATCGGAGGAACGACCGTGGCAGAGGGGGAGGTGTTCGGGCCGTGGCAAGTGAGAGGAGGAGGCATGGCGATGCGGTTTGCAATTTCTCGCGGCGCAGCGACAGGCCGCGTACGGATTTTGCCAAGCGACCTTCACATGACGCGGCGGCATGGCATGACGGGAGGGGGGGAGGCGCCTCGCTGAGACGAGGTTTCTTTGAGGGCAGACTCAAGATAGGCAGTGCTGCCCAGTATGACGTTTTGCTTGGAGTTCATGACTGCCGGCAGGTGACTTTTTATGAGGACGCGCAGAGAAGGGCGTGCGAGGGATGTGCGCGGACATGGTGAGATAGTTGCGAGCTGGCGCTACTGCAACGTGGACACCGCAGCCCCACCCTTCGACGGGCTCCACCCGCTCTCCCCGTAGGTTTGTCGCGTAACGGAAGCCGGACGGGCAGTTACAGTCCTGTCTCGGCGAGATACGGCGGTCCCGCGTAACGTGTAGGCTACGTGACAGTCGGCGCCTGCCGGAGGGGATGGGGGCCGCCCGCGGCTTGACCGAGCGGAGCACTGTACATAAAGATATACTTTACCTGCAGTATGTGAGAGATCAGCGGCCCTCAGCAGCTCATCTGCTGTACATTGGAGATCCTGCAAAAGTTCAAGCGAGTGCTAAAGCTCTACTCGTGTAGGCGAGTTGAAGAGTGCGGTGTTCCGCTGTCCTCATATGCTCGTGTAATGCGATGTCCACCCCCTGTGCTCCACATCTTTCTGGTGACGTACGCAGTCCGATAGCTCGGCGTATTGGGCAATTATGGGGCCCTGAAGTTTTACCTCACCTCTCGGTGCTGCGGGAAAAGAAGCTTCGGCCGTCCTTCCACTCTGAGGTGCCTTTGCTTCACTCTGATCCCAAAACAGTATTATTCAAGCGTTCGACTTCCTATGTGTTCCATTGCGTGGCATGGACGGTTGTAGAGGTGCCCCAGGAGAAGTGATATGATGACGTACATAGGATGAGACTCCTGAGGCAGCGATGCTCTCGACAGGCGAACTCAATACAGTACAGCATCTTCCTGTCCTCATCCTATGACTATCGATCACAGTACAGTATTGGCTTCCGCTTTAAGGTTCACATGGGAATGGTACAGTCCACCTCTCTTGTGGTCGTCTTGTCCTCATAAGAGGTCTCGGGGTCTTCAAGAGAGACATCTCTACCCTGAGCTTCATCTTTACCCTGAGCAACCTTTCCGCCGAACCCCCCCCCCCCCCCCCCCCCCCCAATCTTCCGCCCCAACCATGCGTTTCTCCACCGTCGTTCTCCTGACGCTTTCCGTCCTGACGACCATCTCTCCCACCCTCGCCTGCTCGTGCGCCCCCCCGCCGACGTTCCAGAAGGTGTACTGCGACTCGCCCGTGTCCTTCCGGGGCACAGTGCTGGCGCGCACGGACAACTGCCCCGGCCGGTGCGACCAGATTGCTGACCAGTTTGACGGCGAGATCGTCTTCATCGTGCGCGTGGACCGGCACTTCAGTGGCCCGAGTGTCGAGGACGGTATCGCGTACCTGCGCACCGCTGTCAACGGCGGCCTCTGCGGCATCGAGCTCACCGTTGGCACGCAGTATATGTTCAACTTGAGAAGCCCGCAGAACAGGGAGGGGCAGTGCCCGAGCACGGTGTATGATATTGGGCTCTGCAGCTTTCCCGTCACTTGGAAGTCGCTTTCTAGAGAGTTGAGGAGGTTTGTTGTCAGGGACGCGAGGACGATGGGCGCGCTTTGCAAGAGTCTTTGAGGAGCGCGTTCCCGGTTTATAAGTGAGGCTGTCTCAATGTGGTTGGGGAATGCCAAATGCTGAGTGATGTTGTAGTCCACAGAGATGGGTCATGTTGCAATTATCTGTTTGAATCGTCCAGATGTTAGATCAGGACAGGCAGCGCCTCCGCTCTGGAGGTCGTTGCCTTGCTGCATGATGCAAGTTAGAGCAGTGGTTAGAGTGTACAAAGTTATCTGTATCACATGATATTAGCTGAGTTCTTTGGTAGGGTCAGGGAATGAGGCTGCGAAATGGCAAGAGTCGGCTGTTTGGTCATCCGACGTCAGTAAAAGATTGCTTCAATTTGAATTTCGTCACGACTTCGTGTCCATTTGAATAGTACGAGTTGCAATGTACACAGTAGTACATACCTGACACGCGGTCTCAGTTGTCGAAGTGAAGCAGAAGCACAGTAATCGTCTGCTCAGCGCGTTTGTACATACCGGGATGGACGTGCTTTGTGACACAAGGGAATGCAGTCATCTGGGAATGCACTGCCGAGGATGACGGTATTAGAGTCTTGTATCCCTTTTCTCGAGGTATGTGAAAAAGTGCACTGAAGGATAGAAGCGGTGCTTCCTACCAGTAATTTTATTCTCCCAACCACAGTGATTCGCAGTTACATGAAAACCTCCCCATGCAAACAGTGAAGTCATCTAGTCTGACTGAAATGCATATCACGAAACAGCTTCCCTTCCAAAAGCAAAGACACGAGTCTAAGTCTCCTGCAAAGTGACTGCATCGTATTCGATTCTTTCTTGGCAAACCTCTGTAGTTACCATGAAAGCGACGCGCATCTGACAAAATGCCGTAAAGCTCCATTTCAGGCTGCTCCGGGCATCGTTGCGGCCCATGTGCTTTCCCGATATCCCGCTCATTGTCCTCGTCTCCCGCTACGTCCCAATTTTGCGGAAGCAAAAACTAGTTTTCATTTACATGCTCGCCCCGCCCTACCACGTGCCACAAAGCACGGAGTCAATCGCCTAAAAGCTCAGTAGTACGGCGTTATGCTTCAAACATATCTTCAACTTACAGTGGGGCCTGATTATAAAAGCTGCCGTTCATTGTTGATGTGTATCGAGGATGCTCTCATGACGACGGCCTCTGCTGATGACACACTCTGTGCATGGCACAGTGTTATGCCAAGTTTGATCAAGTACAGCAGTAACAGCGACTGAAGGACTGTATGTAGACTGACTTCGGCTGAACTATCTTTGTTATGTTTTTGTATTGTTGCTCTGCGCAATCTATTGTCCTACAGTATTAGATCTTGACGAATGATGTGTTCCATGTACGATTATCATGGTGCTGAACTCCACTGTGAGACGTAGCCACCAGCTCTCTCTTTTTTTAGTATAAAACCGTCTCCGACTGCGATGGTGAATAAAAAAAAGGAAGGCAGCCTTGCCACCCGATATCGTTGTCTATCTTTACTTCCAGCCCGCCCAGCCCATAACCCAAGTTTCATGTCGTGTAAAAAGAGGCTGTTTTAGCCGGAAACTCATTTTGAAGTCTTGGCAAGCATATTGCTACTCGTTTCCTGTAAATGTAAAGACAGGATGTCTCGATCTCTGGAGTGTCCATTCAACAACATTTTGCGACCTACGATAGCTTCGAGGAGAATGGGAACACAGGATAGACTACAGCAAACCACAGGCAAACCACAACGTGATCAATCACACTCTGCGCAATTGACGTGGTCATCGTCATGCGGGACTGTTCCTTTTCCATCCCTTCGCACATCCGCGTGGAACACTGTTCATGGCATTAAACCGACCGAAAAACGACAACTCTTCTCTTCCGTTGTTTCACAACATGCCGAAAGCGAAGCTATGTCAAAAATAGTTGTTTCAAAACCAATAAAAGGTGTGGTGCAAGATCGATGCCGTCCGTTTACTGATGCCTATCGTGTCTCTACCTTATAAGGGAATGGGAGGGATCAGTGAGACGGCGGTGAATAAAGATGATCTAATTGCGCTGTCATGCGTGTGCTACGTGTGCACGTATGGCTCTCATAACTGCGGCGGCATGCTGGTGCGGCGTCGACACTTGTTTTTATGGCTCTCATGACACTCCCCCTGTCGACGGCGCAGCGGTCTTGGCGTCTGCAGTCTGCTGGATTGTGAGTTGCAGCTTGGGTAGGAGGCGCGTGTATGCTTGGCGCCGGAGGGGTTTTGTGAGGATGTCCGCCAGTTGCTCGTCGGTGGGGACATGGGCGAGGGTGATTGTTCCCTTTTGTGACTGGTGCGTCAGATAGTGGTGACGCAAGTCTATGAATTTTCGCCGCTTTGTCGGTCCTGTGCTGTTCGCGACGTGGATTGCTGACTGGTTGTCAATCCTCAGGGGTGTCGGCTTGGTCGACAGCATGTAGATGTCCTTGAGCATGCGTCGGATCCATGTTGTTTGTTGAGCGGCTGCTGTTGCCGCTATGTACTCAGCCTCGCAGGTGGACAGAGCAGTGATGTTTTTCTTGAGGGATCCCCAACAGATCGGTGTTCCGTTGTAGTTCTGTAGGGTCCCTGAGATGGACTTTCTGTCCATTATGTCCGCTGCGAAATTTGTGTCTGCATAGGAGACGAGGAGGTCCTGTTTCGACTCTTTGCTGGTGGACGTGCCAGCTCGGAAGGTGAGTCCTGTTGTGGGGGTACGTTTTAGGTACCTTATCAGTCGCATTAACGCGCTCTAATGCCTCTGTGTAGGCTTGTTGGCCGCGACGGCGAGTCGGTTTGCCAGGAAATATATGTCAGGCCGGGTGGAGTCGGCGAAATATTGGAGGTCCCCAATTAATTGTTGGTGTTTCTTGAGGGCTGCCATTTGGATCTCATCGGTATCCGTTGGCTTGTGAAGCATCACTCCGTCGCAGTACGGAGTTTCCTTGCGGTTGCAATGTGCCATGTCTGCTTGTTCAACTATGTAGTTGATTGCATTGGGCTGGGAGACATGGATATCTCCATTTGTGCTTCGCTGTACAGTCCATCCTAGGAATGTTTTGTGCTCTCCTAGACGCTTGATGTTGTACGCTTTGGCTAATGCTTTTGCGAACTTCTCCTTGAGCTCGGCTTTTGACGCGACTACAGTAAAATCATCCATGCATACTGCGGCTATGATGAGGTCCTTTCCAATTTTTCTGACCAAAGGCAGAGGTCAGCTTCGCTTTGCTGTAACTTGCTGTTGCGTAGTAGGGCGAATACTGCTGTCAGGTAAGTGTGTCCTGCAGAGGGCGTCCCATAGATGTTCATGTTCAACTTGCCTCCTTGGCATGGGTGCTTGTATGTGCCGTTGAAACGGGGTGGTTGTTTCACGTACACTTTTTCGCTGCCGTTGTGTGCAAATTTCTCATGGAGATATGCTGACTTGATATCGATGTGCTCTATTTGCATGCGGTGTGTTGCTGCTATGCCGAACAGTGTCCTTACAGTTGTTTTATCTGCCATGTAAGTTGTCGGTTTGGCAGGGTCAAAGTGCGTGTGTGGCACCATCTTGTCTCCGCGTGCTGAGCAGCGCGCTTTTCTCGATGCTATTTCTCCTGCGCTGTTCCTCTTGTATCGGTATCCCATTTTTAGAGGTATGAGTTTTCCTTTTTTGGGGAGGTTGGCATCTGATGTTCACTGTACGACGTTCATTGTGTCTAAATTTTCCAATTCCTCGTTGTGTGCCTTTTCCCACTCTGCTGCGTTGGGATATTTCTTGGCTTGGCTTGTGCTACCCGGGGCTGGTGTTGTGCGTGTCACACGTGTGGGTGTGCGGTGTGGTGTAAACGCCTTCCTCGCGTGTGTGCATGGCACTGCAGGGTCAGTGGCTCAGTGGTAGGGTTGGAAGTTGACACAGCGCACTCCTCGAGGCTTGTTGGTTTTTGTTTCGAGTACCATGATGTGGTGCTCATCTATGGCATGTAAGTATCTGGCGGGGGTGGCTCTTGGGGCGAGTTTGGATATTTGTTTCCTGTTAGCCAGTTCAGGGATTGTCCCTAGTTGCCCGAATAAGAGGAATTGGTGGACTCTGGGGGTGGTGTTGTTCCACGTTGTGAATGGCAGGGAGTTGGTGGAGTGGTGTAGTATGTTGTTATACTTGAACGCTGCGTCTCTGACGGCGTCTTCCCAGTGAGTTTTGGGGAGGCCACTGTGGTGCAGCGCTGCTCTTGCGGAATTCATCAGGGTTCCGTTGATCCTTTCTGCTATGCCGTTCTGTTGGGGTGTGTGCGGCACTGTAGTGCTGTGCATTACATTTTGTGAGCGATACATTCTGTTCGCATATTCGGATATATATTCTTTAGCGTTGTCCGTGTGTAACAGCTTGGGCTTGCATCCATTCCTTCGTTTGAGTGCTGTAAGAATTTTGTCCAGTCGGTGCGGTGTTTCAGCTCGTGATTCCAAGAAGTCGACAATGAGGTATCTTGATTTCGTGTCAATTATCGTGAGTATGTACTTGTTTCCTCGGCGTGAGGGCGCGTTGAACGGTCCGCATATGTCACTGCTGAACGCTGCTCCTACTGGTACCTGTGGATGGTTGGGTAGTGCGGGGCCGGTTGTTGTTTGGCGGCTGCGCAGCTCGAGCATGTGATGCGTGGCGGTCTTTGTCTCAACTTGGGTGGGAGGTTGGGCAAGAGGCCAAGCTTTGCCATTTTTTGAAGCGTGGCGGGGCGTATGTGATTGAAGATCACATGGTAATGGTGGAAGTCCCGTTCGACTGCGGGGTGTGCCGGGGTGTACGGGGGCGGCGCAGGATTGTGCGCTACATGCAGGGGTATTCTTTTTACTGTCGGCGGCACCCGTACGAGTGTTGGTATGCGGCTTGGTTTAGGTTTGGCCGTCGTCCTATTTTTTTGCTCTCGGTGCTTTCGTGGGAGTAATTTTTCTTGCGGGGGCGGTTCTTGCTGCCATGATTGTAGTGCAATGCGCCTGTCAGGCAGAGACCAAGGTCCGACGGTCCAACACAAACAACAGCAACAAAAACAACAACTGCCAACGGCACAGCGCTACGGAGTGTTCGAAGCTCCCTGTCCTCTTTAAGCGGGTTTGCGGCCCGCAGTAGCTCGGATCCCTGATAAAGGGGGGCAAAGAGAAGGGCCCAGCCCGGGATCGGTAAATGGTGGTAGAGACTTGTAAAGGCAGCTGCTCGACGAGTTCGGAGGGGTGTTAGAGTAAACCTGGCCCAATGGGTCGTAAATCCAATGCTCGAAGAGCGCCTTGTACACCTTATACCCTTGATAAGGTCTTCGACGGGGACGTCGCAACGTAGCCCGTCGGGAAAGAAGAAAACGTATCAGCGCTACACCGTCGTACTGCCCGATGGCAAAGTACCAACAACGGATC